CGTTACCTAATGCAGATTTATTTTTCGAAAAACGTCGTCCATGGGATTCGAACTCTAGACCTGCCGCTTGGTGGGGTAACGACTAGACCACTTCACTAAGCCGCCACACCCCTGCTAACTCTTTATAGAAATTCATTTTTTTCTAAATTAGGCAAATAGTATATGCTAAAAGTATTTTAATTTAGTAAGGCCAATTCTTTACCACAGGTTTCTTTGAGTTCACCACTTTGCTTACTACTTCAAGTCTGAATATAGTTATATTACTCTCTCAATCAAGATCCCAAGACCACCTTAGAGTTGTTGGTGCTACCTTGTATATTATATCAAGGATTTATATGCACAACCTTTCTATATTAGAACTTTTTGTAATGCCATTACTATATGTAGTGCCAACTTTCTTTACAATAGACCTCTTTCTAAAAATTACTATTCTAAACCAGTATTTTGCTTGGACTTTTCTATAGTAAGTATATTCAAATATTTTTAGAAACTACTTTTAGTAAAACTTAAACCTGAAACCTACTTGTAAAGAGTTGTGTGCCTAGACTACTAGACCACAGAATCCCAACCTTAGTTTTTATCTTGTTATTATTTTCTTTCCTATATATTTTTATTTATTTTATCTGCAAATTTATTTTTAATCACTTGTTATTTTCTTTGATTATTTTTCATTTAAGCTCTAATTTTTATTAATAGTTATTTAACTTTGAAGTTTTATTTTAATTTTATTTATTTTTTTTTTGTATTATTAATACTCTAATCAAGTATTAATATTTAAATCTATAATTTTTATTTTTTTTACAAAAACAAAATTCTAAAAAAATAAAAAGAATAATAATAAAAGCAATAACTTTATATACAAAAACACTCTATTTACTTCATCTTTTTTTATTTTCTTTTTCTTCTATTCTTCTTTCTTCATCTTCATCACTTTTTCTGTTTTTTCTTTCTTCTTCTAGTACAAGTTAATAAAGAAGATTTTTGTAAAACAATATTATAATACTTAAATCAAGTATAATACTTATTTTACTCTTTGATTAGATTTTGGTACTCTTGATTACATAGAAGAAAGTTTTGCAAATACTCAAAAGCTAAACAGTTTAGCTCTTTAATAATCATATATTGACTATCTGCTTGTTGCTACAATTGTCTGTTAATATAATAATTAATAGATAAATTATTAATTAATTTATTTATTCTCTTTCACTATTTATATTTACAAAATATATTTATAAATATTATTATTATTATTATTATTGTTATTGTTATTATTGTAAGTTTTTATTATTATGGTGAAGCGTAGTACTAATTAACTAAGCGAAGCGACGCTTTTCTAATATTACATAGTCCTCTCCAAAATACAAGACGGATAACTGCATGCTTGTACATGGGTGTCCGTCACGATCATTTTGGTAACTTAGAAAGCCAGAACGGGTCCTCGGATAAATCACATCTCAGATCTGCAACCTACAAACCCAACCCTTATAGTGAGCGATTTTTGAACATATCACACCCCATTTTCTGCTTCTACCCAATAGTAAAAAGTCGTGAAAAAATAGTTTATCCGTTTGGATAAACTATCATTTAATTATTAAGCGATTTTTGAAAGGGATGTGTTAAATAATTTTTGTGACCTATAGTATCTATTAGAAGGGATGTGATATAAATTTAATTATTGAGCGATTTTTGATTACTAATTGACAATTATTGAGCAATTTTTGAAATGGCGTAATGAATAAACATCGGGTATTATCGTATAATGTGTTGTAAGAGTTAACAAGCTGGATATTATATTTTTTAAATTTGTAAATGAGAATAAGTATATACTAATCATTAATAACTTATTTACGATCCATAATGATTTTGACAATAAAATCATTACGATATTACGACAACTTTAATACAACTACACAAAAATCTAGTAACGATTTTGTTAAAATTAAATTGCTACGATATTACAGTGATCTTTTATAGCTACACAAAAATTTAGTAGCTATAATGGTAGCCGAAAGACAAAGTGATTGAGTATATTTTCTTTAATCAATTAAATGATGTTCAAAAGATTAGTGAAAGATATTTAGCAACGTGGTTAGATGATATTAAATATAGGACCAGCTTGGTGTCGAACATATGATCCTCAGAAGACAAGAAAAGAATATCGATGATTGTATCAAAGAGTTTCAACTTAAAGATAAAGATATGACAACTTAATAAAATGGATTCCTTTTAAAAAATTAAATAATATTCTAATATCTAAATACATGTTACAGAACTAATTACTTTTACACTCACATGTGACTTATTAATATTCAGATCCTATCTAATCAAAACAGATTAGTAATTACGTTATAGCCTATCAATATTTAGATCCTACCTAATGAATAGAGATTAGTAATAAAGAATATTATTTGAGGAAATTAACAAATTAGAATTCAATTAATAAGCAGATTTGAAAATATCACTATAATAATTAAAAACTGATTTCTATTTAAGAGTTAATTTTTATTTGGTATTCTTTACCTCAGGCTAATATTTTTTCTTTGATGTAATTAAGAAGTTTTTGTTTAATTCTCTATTTTTAAAAAAAATATAAAAACACTGCAAAATCAGTAAGTTGAATTAAATTCCAAATCTAAAATGAAAAAACATTTATATCAATATCATCCGTATTTATCAAAGTTTTATAAATTTAATAAGGAAATGTCTAAAGATGGAACTTTTTCAATGAGCAAGAGTTAACAAGCTGGACGTCGTATTTTTAAACTTGTAAATGAGAACAAGTATATTGTAATTGAAAAGAGAGACTCCAATGTGTTGGTAATTTTTTTAAGTATGAAGAGACAAATTATTAATATTCCAAAAAAATATAGAATTAAGAATATACACATCAAGGATATGTATAAATTACATGAATTCGATAGAATTCCTTGTTTTATTCTATCAAATAATTTGAATGATTTTCAATTATGTGTTAAAAATACTGAAACAAAAGAATGAGAAGCGATTTTTTAGTTTGATAAGATGGAGATATTTTCTGTAAACCATAGTTTTAAGATTGTAGGCATTAATCGTAATGAACATCTTGAGTTGTATTCTAGACTTAACGATAGTATTCGAAAAAAGATTATTGACGTTGAGACTCAAGAGTTACAGGAAAAAAATGTAATATACTAATCATGTAATAACTTATTTAATAAAGCCAATTATTCTATATTACACTTATCGAATAATAATATTTATAATCTATACAGATCTTTTTAATAGTTAAAATTTCAGTAATCTCATTTTCGTTTATCATTTCAAATAATCGCCGTACGCCAATAGCAGTGGCGAGCCGGATCGGCTCACTCTGAAACTTAGCTGGCATCATGATCGGACGCCATCTCGCTACGCCACGTTACAGCGTGTCATTGATGCAATCGACGCCGGCAACAAGAGCTAAATTCGGCTTTTGTTACAATAAAGTATTTAGGCCTTATTAAATGATCAGGCTCAAATGCTTTTTTTTTCTTAACTTTACTATAACAAAAACCGAATTTCGCTCTTGGGGGTACAAAAATATATAGCTGTCATACAAAAAAGTTGTGTATAAAAGTTGCTCGACAAAAAAGTAAATATTAAATTTAAACTTAATATTGATTCGCTTTTAGACAAAATTTTTTATTTATTTTTAAGAATAAACAAAATATACTTTATAATCAAAAATATCACAATTAGAAAATACAAAACTTGAAATACTGTTATTAATAAACTTAAAATTATTTAAAAAGCTATTCTATATTCGCCATTAACCTATAGTTCAACTACAATTAAAAAATTATCCAAATTATTTTTAAATAACAAAAAATTATTTAAATTCATTTTGAAAATGAAATATAAATGGCTAATAATTACTACGTAATCATAATTACTAAACTATACTTATTAACTAAATATTCGCATTCTCCTTATTGAGATGATGGCTTTCTTCATTTTGGTTTTCTATAATTTCTTGTCGTGTTAAAAATAATCGACCTTGACTACTAGCATACTCATTGGTCATCTCTATAACCTCTACAGGTTTTTGAACAAAATAATTATTATCAAGCATCATGCGAGAATTTGATATATTTACATTATTATAATCCGAATCGTTTATAAATTTTTCGATTTGACGCTTCAACCGCTTGTTAGGGGTTCTTTTTGCTGCAGTAGTGCTAGATTCGGCCATCGACTATTGACGACTGTAATCGGAATCATCATCGAAATATTATTTGGTTTCAGATTCATATATATGTTCTTGAGATCTTTTTCCTAGTATAGTTGAAGATAAAACTAATTGCGATTGTTGTAAAATTTTCTGTTTGTACTCAGAAAGCTCTCGGCATCTAGGATAGTCGCGTAGATAGTTCTTCTTGAATTCGAGAAAGTGACGGCACCAGTAAGCTTAATTGTCAGTTTTAATGATCACTTCACCATCTTGATTTTTAGTTAATTCCTGTACTACAGCTTTTAGTTCCTCAGATGTAAATTCACCTTTACGATATTTTACATCCCATGTCATGTTTCGAAATTCTTCCTCTGAACCTTTATGAAATATTAATTTGGTAGTACGAAGATCCATCTCATCATGCCATATACTTTTAAATTCTATAACATAATCAAGACGACAATAAAATTGACTCCAATCACATTGAGTTGACATCTCTTCATTTATATTATGTCTTCGAAAATTAAAAGCTTCTTCTGGTGGTTTGTGAGATGTCATAAAGACATACTTGGCAAGAAAAGGCACAAATGTCTTGCCTTTTTGTTCAACATTCTCGGGTGTATCATTCAAATATTTTACAATATCATTCTAATCCATTGATGTATACCATTCATCAAAAAGAACTATCTCATGTCTCTTATACCCATCCTACCAATTAGATCCTGATTTTTGTTTTTTAGGTTTAGCATAATATTCATTAGAAAATAATTTAGAAACCAGCCCAGACTTCTCTGCTCCGCCTTCACTATAAATGTAAAATGTAACTGGTCTCCAAAATTTTTTAAGCTTTTCAGTTAAAAGATGTTCTCTTTTTTCTTCAAGAAAAAAAAGATCTTGCAAAGATCGAAGCCAATATCATGGATATAATGTTTTAATATCCTCTAATATTTCACGTGTAGAAATACCTTCTTCAATAATTCGATTGACACGATCCATATCTTCTAAATGATGTTTTTTAATTTCGTCTTTTCCAAGAAATTCATTTTGAGAAGAAAGAAATCGATATGAACCAAATTCCCATGGGCCTAATTCAACGCCATCATCAACCTAACGTGCACGAGTACGTTTCTCAATACATTCAACAGTACAAAAAATACAAATTTTTGAACGATCAAAATAGTCACAACGACAGTTTTTAGCATGTGCAGGATCCTTACAACGATTCCATGGCTTCATATTATAATTATGATTTTGTTCCGAATCACCATTTAAATATTTTGGAAAACTCATAGAATGATGTCCAAATAAAGCTTTAACAGACTTCATCGTTTGCCGATCTTTGAATTGAAAAAAACATTGTTCGTGAAACTGACCTTTCTCTGTTGGTTCTGGCTGTCCAGATGAGTAAGTAAGACCTTTTGCTTCTAATTCTTTATATTCCGCTTTGGTGCATGGTAGAACGCGTTTGCATTCAATACCAAGAGATTTACATGAAAAATAAACAAAATCGTTGCATTCATGTAATTTATAGCAATTTATACATGTTGCATTTTTACAGCGCCAATGATTCTTTTGACAGTTTGCGCATAAGGGGGCTTCACCAGTTCGAGCAAAAAGGTCTTCACGACTCTCTTTATCTTTTTTAGTACAGGTTTTTTTACATTTGAAGGAATTTATACAAGGAATGCAATAGAATACGGTTGCCATGATTTGGTGAAATCTATAATTAGGATTGAGTCAGTAGAAATCAAGCAAATTGTTTTTATTAAATTTTTTTAACAACTTTAAATACTAATATCTTAACAAAAACTTGATCAAATTTAATAAATTTTTTTTTAAATAAATTCTATAAGTATGTAGAACTTATTTAAAAAAAAATTTATTAAATTTGATTAAGTTGTTGTTAAGTTATTGTTATTCAAACTTTTAAAAAAATTTACTTAGAAAAAATTTGCTTGATTTCTACTGACTCAACCCCAATTATTTGCCATTTTAGTTTTACCCAAGCAAAAAAACGTATTTATATAATTTTTTATCACATATCAAAAAAATTTACGCGTTTATACGCGGTCATATTTACATAGTGATTTCCTAATATTCAGATCCTATTCAAAAAGTAAAATTTTTGATTACCAAAATCGATTCATTCTCAAGTCTAAATTCATTTTCATTTTATTTATTTTAAAGTAATTTGATTGCCAAATTTAAATATCATGAAATGTGAAAAATATTTTTTATTTTACATATTTAAAATAATAATTTTAGATATACAAGTAAATACAAAATTACATAGAAAAGACGAAAAGATATATACAACCTTGATATTAGGATTCTTTAGAAACTCAATTAAATTTTAATTATTAAAAAGGTCTGTATAGATTATAATATTATTATTCGATAAGTGTAATAGAGAATAATTGACTTTATATAATTTTATTAAATAGTACATTTCTTAATATTCTTAAAACATTGACATTTTACCCTAATACACTCTGATTCGTTTTTTCTATTTACACTAATTCTATCACAATCGGGGCATTGATTAAATTTATAATTTTGCTTTAAAAAATGATCCACATAATAAAAAAGATCCTTTTCTGAATAAATATCTAAAAGACGGCCATGTTTATGATACACACTAATATTTTCATGAATACACCAATACAATTTTATATTTTTGCAATTTTTATATGTAGTAAAAAATTTTTGAACATGAGAAATATCAATAATTCTCAACTGAAACTTATCACCAACATGTAAAGAATTCGAATTCCAATGATTATAGATACCACAACGATTAAGATTCTCATCGATTAGATTGAGAAATAGATTTGGTTGATTATCATCAGAAGCAAAAAAAATATCGACTCCAATAATAATTAAAGTTTAGTTTTTCACAAAAAGGACATGTATTAAAATGACCAGTACTTTCTTTTTCATTAGCGGTTGCTTCATTATCTTTAAGATATTTTCGCAAGACACATTTTAAAAAAATATCAATCACATTGTTATTATTGATATTTTTCACATGAACAATCCCACGTTCATTAATATAAAACTCATATTGATCGTTGTAAATGTATTTTTTAAAAAAAACTTGTGGATCTTGCAATCGTAAAGATTTATCTACTAACAAGTTCTTGATAAAGTTTTTACATTCCATGTTAAGAATTAAATTAATATTTTTATTGTGCGTACACGTGTATTTATATTTTTCAATTACCCGATTAGTATGGGCAATTCGACATTACCCGATTAGTAAAATGCTTTTGGTCGCAGAATGGATCAAAGTGGGCAATTCTACATTACCCGATTAGTAAAATACTTTTGGTCGCAGAATGGACCAAAGTGGGCAATTCGACATTACCCAATTCGTAAAAATTCGACATTACTATTTTGATTTTGTAACTTAATTTAAGAAAACCCCGAAATATCGATCTTTTGGTCCAAATTATGAATTTTTCCATAGTTTCACTAATATTTTTAAAATAGAATTTTTAGTAATCAGTTAACATCAGATGAATACATAATAATTTAAAAATATATAAATATACGTATATTTATTCTTATTTAAACTAAAAATGCCCCCAATTAAATCTAACAAGCGAACTCTTCCAATACAAAATTTTGATCAATTTGGGCTCAAGATTAAAACCATTGCACTAAAAAAAAATAAAAATGCTGCAAGACTTTTCTTTTTAAAATTAACGGATCCTGATAGTAGCAATGCTGGTACTGAAATATCTGAAAATATTACTATCGAAGATTATCCTGCCTAAATCGAAAAATGTAAGCCATAGCCAAACACAAATGACTTCTTAATTTATTTTCATCATATTTATATAATTAAATATAAAGGTGTTAAAATTTATCAAATGAATTTTGCAAACAAAATTAAAATTTATAGATTTCCAAAAAATGAATCTGTATTGTTAACTGGTACTTATAATGATATTGAAAAATTATGTATAAAGCAAGAATAATTATTTTTATATTTAAATTTATTATTCAAAAAAAGATTATTGATATTGAAACCCAAGAGCAACAGAAAAAAATGTGATATACTAGTCATGAATCAAGCAATTTTGTCTTTATTTAAAATAAATTTTTTTTTTTTTTTTTTTTTTTTTCGGTATTAAGGTGACCTCTTTGGCCTGGGGAACTTTTTATTAGAGATAGACGAAGTTTTA